ATTCTTTAAGGTGCCATGTATTAATGTTAGTCATTGCGCAAGCTCTGGGCTTAGTGTCCGGAGTATCGCCAAAAAGCATATAGCCAGGTAAACTGAGCCCGTTTACTGAACCGTTTCTCTTCCTGGATGGCGTCCTCGAAAGATCTCCTGAGTGAAGACCCTCGAAGCCGCGATGTAGTGCTGTCAGTTAATTTGAATAAAATTGACCGCCGGGTGGTACCTCCGCGTTCGATTGTCGGAGACCGTCTACCACCTACGGAGAATTACAACATTCATAACCAAACGAAAAATTCTCTTGGGACGCCACCGCTGCTATAGTACCTGGTAGAATATGCTTCGAAAAGGGAACATTTTTGAAATGTAAATGTGATATGGGCCGGTATATTGCAACATACATTGAAGAGTAATACTTGTCGAAGTGATGACGCTTTCCCTAAATCACTGAATAGATAGATACCTTGAGGATTTATATTTTAATAGCACGGTAGTATGAAAAAGCAATAAACGATATTTGAATTTCAAAACATTTTCTTTGATACAGTATCCAGCGATGTGCTCTTGTCGGTTTATACCAACGAATTCAGACTAGGTAGTGTGTGCTTTCTAATTCTTATAGTCTGTAGTGAGGATCAAGTAAGTAAGTAATTTTTTGTTCTATCATTGAGTTTTTATTTTTAGTGGTATTTTTTAAAAAGATGCGAGTGTTTGCAGACAATTGTGGCGTTAGACTTTGGTAGGCATGGGTAGTCAAATGAGTCAAAAGTATACGCTAAAACTACCCTATTTTGGCGGCAAACAATGCAATGTAAAAATGTTGGCCTGGCTGCTTCTAATCTATTCGAATTCATTGGTTTATACCACTGTGATAAATCCTCATACAACAATTTTGAAAAATTTGGATTTATTGCTTCATTTCTTCTAATAGAAAATTATAATATAATCTGCAACACCACTGTGTGAGAATTAACGAATTAACTAGCTTTATTTTCACTTATCAATAAATTGTTGTATCTCCTAATAAATTTCTATTTAAAATAACATGTTCAAAGTTTACGCATGACATGATTCTCGAAACATAAATTTGTATGTAATATTATTTCTTATTTTCTAATTTGATTTACAATTTCAATGATGGTACCATATGAAACTATACCTGTATTCACTGCTCCTTTACCATTTGGGACTATCAATCTAGAGTCAATGCAACTTTTCTGTTCGAAGGGTTAAGTTTCACCCAATAACGTTTTTTATCAATATCCGATCGTCTTTAGCTTCATATTGAAGTCCAACGCCAGAAAATTTGTATTATTTGGTTTACATGCTTTATATGACATTATCCGAATAGATGTTGAACAATCTATTAAATCTGAGCTGTAGAAACTAAACAGTATGACACCCAAAAAACCTCCTTGCGGAACGCCAGAAGTCACATCTCGTAAAGATCGCTTTACTTCAAACACTGGCATGTCAGTCAAGTAAGTTGATGAACCATTGCATTTCAATTCCAGATAGACTACGGTGCTGCAATTTTCTACATAGAACATTGTGCATGTCTCTATAGTCCTATAGTTTATGATCACCAAGTGTGCAACAATTCCATCATCCATATTTTCGGATCTTGATTCCCTGGGTTATAAATCCCATGCCATCTAAACGAGCGGCCGCCGTTAAAGCTTGGCTTATTGATCCCGGACAGGCGGCATGCGTCGGCCATTTTCCCGTTGCCCAGCAACGATTTCCCGCTTCCTGTACTTGGTCTCGTTCCCTATGGATAGCTCCATTTCATTACGTATTCAAGACCGACTTGTCGCGTCGCACCGGCCGATCCCTTCCTATCATCCCCTTCTCCATAACTTTTCTTTGATAAACAGCGTTATATGGCCACAAGACACCAGACTACGTAGTATACAGGGTGGAAAGTCATCAAAAATATCTGCAACGATGGATTATGATGCTAAAAGTATACTTGGTAGTTCTCGGCTCTTTGCGATTGTTTGTAGTGTATGTGTGCATATAGTTTAACCACATTAGGTCGTTTGCATCAAAGGCCACTCAGGCTTAGAAGGAAATGAGACAGTATATGATTTTGCAAAAACACCTACACAATGAGGCAATTACGTTCGGAATATGAAAAGCCTTTTTTACTGATATATATATCACAAGGACTCGGACAAGAATGGAGTAACCATTGCAAAAGTAGTCCTATATGAAATGAATTAAAGAGACCCTTCGAGGTAGAACTTGCTCCAAGTAATTATAGAGGATAAATAAAATGAAGTGGCCCTCCTTTGACGTCTTTGGTGGATATGACAATGATCCACATTGCAGTTGAGGGAAAATATGGACATTTACAACGCTGAATTTTAGAATATCCAAGCTATAATCGATAAGTTTATGAACTTTTACAGAAACATTGACAGAAAATAGGAGTAACTTTATAAGAAGATGTTACTTACAACTAGGATGTTTGGAAAAATGGAGGAAAACAAGGCAATATAACAAAAATTATAAGCTATAAATACATAATTAAAAATATACAAAATAAAAATTAAAGGAAAAGAAATCTGCAAATACTCGTATTATGCAAGACAAAGTCTTAAAATGATAAAAAGAAACAGAAATTCAAGAAAAAAGCAAAACATTAAAATGAATAAAAAATAGAAACAGGAATTCAAGAAAAAAGCAAAACGTTATAATTGTACTAGTAATGGACAATAGAAGCAGCATATTGAAACAAATTGATACTAGGATTTGTCATGTTTTTGATGAACGTTAAACAGATACTGATTTAAAAAGGGCCATGCGTGAAACTCTATGTAAAACTATAGTTAGGAGATCTTCCTTTGATAAGCAAGGCACGAACAGTATGACAATGGTAGTAAAAGACAAATATCTAATATAATTATGGATATAGAATGTTGTGATGCGTTCCAGTCATTTTTTGGCGATTATTATGCAAAAAGGAAGCTCTCTTTGTATCACTTATCAACTGTCAAATCTTGATAATAACCTTCCTAGAGATCAATTCTGGAGATGAGGGAGTAAGATAAATCTCTATCTCACTATAGAGTTACCTAAACAATATTGAGAAATTTACAAAACCCCGTCATCTTGGTAATGATACATTATACTACCGTTCACCCTTTTTGCCGATACCGTTGTACCATCACTGTACTTCTCAACATGCTCAATTGTTGGATGTTGCACCGATTTGGTGCGTAATATATTGACAAACACAACATCCATGGCTCGAAATGTAACTTCCAAGGCCGGGATTCGAATTTGCGAGCCCTAGAGCTGATATGCTAGCAGCTCGACGTCTTAACACATCTGACTAGACAGTAGCTTTCCGTTTCCAAAGGAATGAAGATACTACCTATGACCATGAAATGACGGTGGTATATAATCTTTATACTTTCATCCATACTCATATAGGTCAAAGGAAAGCTTACCAATACCGCCAGATCGACTAGCCAGACTACTCTTTTGTAAATAAAATATAGAAAATGATAAGAGACGCCATGTCGAATTATATTTTTACAAGCATTCATTAAGCTTGACCTGTTTGTATGTTCATACGTATGGGAACTGAATTATGAGCCAGTTAACCTTAACTAACCAATTGAGTTGAAATTTTGGTTTGCGTGCCAATACAAGATGAACCGCCACCATTTTCAATCCAATATGGCGGATGCTACAAAATGGTGATAAGTAACCCCTATCAAATGAAAATGGAGATTCACATATTTAATTGTCACCCCTACGATATGGGTGTCAAATAAAGAGGCTTGATGAGAGAAACGTAATAAGCAAAGTGACGTCATTTTAAATCCAATATGGCGGCGGCCGTCAACTGCCATTTACATATTTCATAGTCTCCATTCCGACATGGGTATCAAGTGAAAAGGCTTGATGAGAGAAACGCATTAAAGGAAGTGAAGTTGGCGTTTATAATAATCAAAGTCACCCCTCTACAATGGGTATCAAATGAAAGGGTTTAATGAGAGAAACAGGATAAGCAAATACCGTCATTCTAAATTCAACATGGCCGCAAAATATCGACTTATGATTATATGATTTATATCTATCGAAATTTTTTAATACAGATAAAGTAAAGTAAGAAGTTTTTTAGAGTCATATTAATAAAATATATGAAAATTATATAAAAATTTCAAAACTAGTTATTTGACATCTTAAATACTAAAAAGTAAAAAATAAATAAAATAAAAAAATGCATTTTTAGAAACAAAGTTATATTTAATTGTTCAAGAATTGAACTAAAAATTTAAAAATAATTTGTTCTATTTGTTCTGTTGTGAATGTTTAAACGATCTCAAGTTTTAAAATAAAAGCGTGCTACGTTTTTGACAGCAGGATCGAAAAAGGATATCATGTGAACAATTGAGATGAACGAGCATGTATTATTGTTTAAATATTTGCAATCTGAAAAATTATTTTTAAATAATTTTTCGAGCAGCTAAGTAAAAACTTGTTTCTAAAAATGCATTTTTTTAGTTTATTTATTACCAAGTTTATCTCACAGGAGTCATTATTAGTAATGACGTTTGGCTTCGTCAATCTCTTTTTCTCCTAGGCGGTTAATTTGATTAATTATTTAATAGGCGTGATCTATCAAGATGCTTATCGTGTTGTAGGTTCCAAGTTTTTAATGAACCTCATATCATTTGGATTGTGTCTTCCACTTGGGAAGGATACCTTGAAGTGCTTTCTTTTCAATTAGTTACCCTTCGGCGAAGTCAAAATACAAACTTTGAATTGCCTTTCGAAAAAAGGTAGCTTTATAAGACACACTAGTCTCAACACCTACGCAACGAAGACGCTCTCATGTTACAAAATTTTACACCTTAACGAGAGCTCGTCTCATATCACAAGGCTTGGTCACAATGTATGTATATATAATAATAATATAACCCAGTCTTATCGCATAACATATTAGTGGATCCAATTCATTAGTTGAAGAATTTTCATAAACATTCAAAGGCCTTCACCTCTATGTGAGAAACTTCAGATAGTAACTATATTTATAGACTCCCCGATAAATGTTTGTAGCTTCATTTAAATTTGGCGCCTTTGGTGACGCAACTCAACTTCGATAAGACAAAAGTCTTGCAGGAAAGTCACTTGAAGTGTTTCTTGGTAAAGTGAATGGTGCAAATTTGAGTTTACCATGGATTTTAGTGTTCGTTTTCTAACTACAGTGATATGGATGTGTACAATGTAAGTAAGATACGTAGGATTTTAGAATAGAAAGTTAATATGAGGGTGATATAAAAATGAACTTTGATAAGCTTGATTCCACAATACAATGGCGTGAGGCGACAAGATATCGAATTGGTGGCATGCTTAGAAATGGCGTCAAGTAGGTTAACTTAAGGTTTTCAGGTGCTTGCGTTACCTGGAAACGTCTCTTAAGAATATGACTGAACTATAACCTTCTGCGCAACCCAGCTTATTTACATTTCCGAAAATAGTTTTAGTCTTTTAACTAGAACTGTCTGGATATGATTCAAACTTACATACAAGAAACAAAATACCGATATTGTCCTCATACGCTTCTAGTGGCTCTAAACGGCTTTAATAAGTGAGTTTGTATGCTGCTTAGAACTACTTCTCTTAGCTGAACATTCCACTTGGACACGGAAACTTACCGTTTAAGGTTTCTACAGGCCTTTTCAGCCTACTGTGAAAATATAGGTGTTTTTAAAACTTGAACTGTGAAGGTAGATAAGGGTTTTTCTATCGTTTTATTTATTTTGAATTCATAACTTTGTCTTATGGTTATACTTGTTTGTAGTGGTAAAGACCCAAAACCATTATAAATACTTTGCACTGCATTAATACGGTAAATCCTAACACAGAAAATTCTTATGGAATGGGCACTTGACGTTCTTGTTACTGATCTAGAAGATACTAAAATTTACACAAAAATATAGTGTTATAAGTTATAAGGTATAAATGAACGAAGATACAAAATCGGTCTTGGTCTCACTCGTTTAGACAAAAATATATCTACTTATTTGCAACATTCAATGAGTATTATTGAATGAAATTATATAAGTTTGCTTTATATTTTTATTTACTAGCTTCGTCGAGATTAAACTGTGATAATTTGTCACTACCACGAATACAAGTCACAACCATGGGTGCATTGGTTCTATGGTCGTGACTCCTCAAACATGTTATATATATATATATATATATATATATATATTGTCATTCTTTTTACACGACTCACGACAAATCTTACTCAACTGATACATGCTACAAGTAAAAGATAATATAAAGAATTATTTCAAGTACTGTTTTGACCAAATCCAAGAAATGCACAAACAAACGGGGTTCACAAGAATACCATGTCCACCACATTCGTAAGCTGTTTAACATAAGGTAGTGTTGCAGAACCTAAAACAAAAGCTAGTGTTGCCAAAGTCAACTAAAAAAATCTAATGGTTGTCATGACATGGCCATGACTCATGACAGAAAAAGACGATCACAACTTTCACAGCTTGTACCAACAGAATACAGCACAACACTTTAATAACTTTTTGATAAAACAATCTTTATTATCATCAAAAAATTAATGAAACCTAAGATCATACCGATAAATGAGATATTTTTAGCATAAAAAATAAGGTACTACATAATGACACAATTCTCACAAGCCGCGGCGCGTGACCTTCCTTCATATTTGATTCAATTTATAGTTTGACAAAGTTATATTGTGATTCTATTTATAATTTTTTCGATGATGAAGTGATATTTTTTATAGTGCATAACTACATTTAGAAGTTAGAAATTAGGATTTTACATGCTTTGAAGTTCCTACACTATAAAAATGTATCCTGCCTAAGTGAATTTGTAGATTTTGTCAGTGAATTTAACATATTCAATATAATTTAAATTTAAATATGTTCAAGGTTTCAGGTCATAACGGCTGAAGTATCCACAACACATTCAGATGCAGAATGGGACCAAGATTCTTTTATAACCACTACACAGACGACACTCCACTTTATTCAGATGGGTGAGTTCAACAGCAGTCAAAATAACTAAAAATCTTGTATTAGTATCATTGACTTTTACGAAAAATGATTGAAGCGGAAATTACTTTGGCGGACTCAAATATTTTAATTAACTGCATTTGAAAGAAGAAGATTATGTGTAGAAAGGAATATATTGGGAGATTCCATTCCTCAGACTTGAGATGTACTGATGAACCTTTTGGCCAGCTTAGGCCCCATTTTACTAATCTGGCGCTCACATTTGTACCTATGGCACAAATTAGACCAATGAGAATTCGGTCGGCTTCTTGTAAAAGCTAGAGAAGAGTTATGCGATCTGTGTATGATAGGCCCGTAATTTCCATATTAAATCAAAATAAACATATGCGTAAAATGTACTAGGATCATAGGGTATTCTAAATTTCTGCGTAATTGATGAGACTAAATAAGGACAAAACATCAATATTGTTTAAGGAAGCGTATTTTCAAAGTAGGGAGCGTTGAAGTTTTTCATATTGATTTATTTACTGACTCGTTAAAATCTTTTTTCGAAATATGTCATTTAACATATCTTTTATCTGAGCTTCAGTACCAAGTGCATATTTGTTTGTAGGTAAAGGATTACGAGAAATCCCACTTGGCAGCCATAACCTGGAGTCGATCAATTTTGGATACAATCGTATTCCATCACTTGGCCCGTATGTCTTCTACTACAACGGATATCTCTCCTTAACCAAGATAGAACTGTGCCAAAACAAGATCTTCAATGTCAGCCAAAACGCTTTCAAAGAGCTAAGCCAACTCAAGATGGTGGATCTATCTGGAAACAACTTAACATCTTTAGAAGTCAATACCTTTAAAAGTAACACAAAGCTGGTAAAACTAGATTTGTCTCAAAATAAAATAGGCTTTATCCCGTTTAAGCTGTTTTTAAATAGTGCTACACTAGAAACTTTGGTGTTATCTAGTAATAAAGTAGATCATATTTATGAAGCAACCTTTTCCAAGCTACCTAAGCTCAGGAATCTGATGTTAAATGATAACACCATATTCTTTATAGATCAAAATGCATTTACACATCTTAGATGTCTACAATATCTATCTCTGGCGAGTACTGGAGTTTTCAGATTGAGCGAAAATATGTTTAGGAACGATTCTTACCCAAAAATAATCGATTTAAGCGACACTCCATTGGCAAATAAGTTTGATCCACCATTGAAAAAAGTGAAAAACAATGGGGTAGCAAATTTGCTCACACTAGATAGATATTTTTGAGCATATAATAGGTAAGATGAGAATAGCAAGTGTCGAAATTATAGGAAGAATTTGATCACACTTGTAGAATTTTTAGATTCTTGGGATTTAGAGACTGAGAAAACTAACATGAAAAGGCTTTAGCATAAAGCCGTAATAAACATTAGAATGAGACCACATAGGGCAAGCCATGAGGGTAGATCCAAATGGTGCGTTCAGTTGAAAAAATGACACATGAATGTTTTTGTATGTTGTATCGTTATAGATATAATGAATGCTAATAATCTGTGATATACTTACATAAAACTTGCTTGCGATAGAGACAATGTGATACGTATATAAGTTTTCATATGTAACAATATAGACAGTGAATCTTCTAAGTACATAAGACTTAAAAAAAAGAAGAGATATTAAGTTTAGCTTCTGGTGGCGTGCGTGGTCATAAAAAAGTACATTTTTAATCCATTTTGAGATTTCGGAAGTTTTTTAGGCAATCTTAAGGCTGCTTTTTAGCCGGAACTGCAAGGAACTAGACTAAAAATTTAGGTGCACTAACACTAATTACTTAACTTATTTGCAGTTGAACAAATGCTGAATAGCGAAACTGTAGATAGCAAATACTTGATTTTTCGAAGAGCCTACTACGTAGATTTTAAAAATGGATGGACACAAACGCATTCTTATATTAAACATTCTGAACTAAGGCTTCAAATAATGAGTCATTAAGCAATGAGGTATTAACAAATCGAGCATAAGTTTACATTCAGTTAACGTGAAGTTGAAGATCAAATTTATAATTTTACAGCTATAAGTTTGTTGATTTTCGTATTTCATTATTTCGATACACAATCGCCACGGTTTACTTTTGTTGATGTAACCTAGCTATCTTGGAAATATTGACGTAATAAACATAAAACGAGATTTTTTAAACTAATAGATAAGTAAAAAAATGGAATATCCTTCATGTAACTTTGTAGGTGCTTAGAACTTCACTGTGAACTGAATTACAACATAATTTGTTAATATTAACAAAATTTGTTAATATTACAATTTATTTTATAGACTTACGTTGCAGTATTATAGTGATAGTATAGTTGCATGTATTTCAATAATATACGGAATCATTGAATAGCGCCAATTACAAATTTTGCCACTATTGAGATTTTTAGTTAAAAAAATATTTTCCATGTGTTTTATTGAACATTGTACAACATGAATCTTGATAAAACAGAATCAGTGGGTGCATAAATAATTTATTTTATTAGGCGAAAAAATGAAACCAAGTCCATATTAATCTGAAATCTAAAATATAATAAATAAACAATGCATAAACATTAAGCACGTGTAAACAAAAAGGTGGTGTTTTGTACAGATATTGATGCTTTAATATAATTATTTACATCATTTCATGTTACAGTGAAAAACTTAGTTATGTGTTTACATACAAGTAAAAAATGGTAAATCTGTGTGCAAACAAGGATCAGATATTATTTATAAGTAGCTTTAGACCTCTAATGAACAACAATGTTGACGATTATGATATAGTTGTAATAAATAAAGCTTGCGAATTTTAGTCTGCAATTACTTTTTTTAATATTCACATAAAATAGGTTCATTATATGATGGATAAGTACAATTTGTTGTACAAAATTTCCCAATGAATTGCAGATGATGCGAAAAAAATGTTTACTTCTCGGCCATATAATGGAAGAGTTTCACTCAAAGTTTAGGCTGATAAGGTTTGAATATAGAAGGACTCTATTAACCAATTAATGTGAAACCAACGAAAACAAATATGATTAACCTCCTTCACCAGCGGAGTTTACAATATAATTCAACGTCATCAATAGATTGATTTCATTTGACTTTGTGGATGAAAGCTGCCCGATTATTAAAAAATGAGTAAATACAGAAGAGACCGAAGGAAAGTTATGGATCAAAAAACTGCTAAGATGCTCTCCAAGCATTATAATTCAATGCATTATAAAAACGGTGAATGTGCAAACTACCGGTTCCGATAAGCAATTTAAACTGTATCCATCGAAGAAACAAAGTAAAATCAAACATATACACCCGTATTGCACGTGATCAAGAACTTAACCGTAGGAGACGCTACAGGGCCGTATCAAGCTATTGTGACTGATCTATCAAAAAATGTCGTACAAGATATGTGTTGCTGTAAATTCTATCAAAAGCATAGTAAATTATCAGGAATATACCACGCCTTTCTAGTCATATTTCGACATTAGGAATCAGTGCAAAAAACTCTGTATTCACCATTTCAGCAAAATGTTACTAAAACGCACACGAAAAAAACTTGTGAACCATCTCAATTGAAATTGTTCATATTTTATTATTAACTTACATATATACCCAATAATATTTACAAATCAACCTTCTATTCACAATGCAGAGCAATGTTTTTTGAGCAAATAGAAACTACAGACGTAGTAGTAGTAGTACAAACGTTTATTACAGACTCCATAAAGTTTGTTAGTTTGATTGCTATTAAAATTTACATGAGAAATAGGAAGAAGGTCAAAATGGCACTATTATGCTTTGGAACTCCTAAAGTAACCCTAATTTTGTGTAATTATAAATTTGGAATTTCCACATTAATAACTAGAAACTTACACTTTGATTGCAGTCTATAATGAACTTACCTGTCTTGCCAAAAAGCCCGCTAAACTGCCGGTCTTAATGGTATCAATCGATTTATATGCTGTATTCCGAGGAGCTTGAATCATCAGAATTGTTGATGTCAATTATAAGGGGTTCAACTTGGGTGTCAATGATATTGTCCATATCCCACATTTTGGTTTCAACCTTCTCTTGGACATGGTCAATACATGTTCTCCATTTTGCTGGCGTAATTCTATCGACAGCAACATCAAACAGTTTTTTAAGGTCAGAAAACTTAAAAGTGCTGTTATTTGACGCCACGTATTGCTTGATATCGGCCCAAATCAACTCGATAGGATTCAGTTCGCAGTGATAGGGAGGCAGCCTGAGAATCGTTTTATTTTGGTTTTTGGCCATTTCGTCAACAATTTTTAAATCATATTTATACTTATGTCGCTTGACTATATTTATCAGCTCAGCTTTGACCATTGTTTGGTCAAAGTCGATCTTCTTTGAGACAAGCCACTGTTGAATGTCTGCCTTTTTGGTGGCCATTGTTGGAATTTTTTCCAATTTTCTGGAGTGGTACGGGGCATTATCCATCACAATAATTGCGTTATCATCAAGTGTCGGCAAAATTTTTTTGAACCAATTTTCAAATGAGTTACCATCCATTTCTTCGTGATAGTCTCCAGTTTTTTTGGATTCAAATGCCCACAATGCTTCATGAACAAATCCATCTACGCTACCTATGTGGCACATGATCAGGCGTTTTCCCTTGCCTGAAAGTAATTAGTTATTTTACTTCTCAGCGAGCGCACTAAATGACGAAATTAAGCAACTTACTCTTTTTAGGTTAGTGTAGGATAGGGTCTTAGATTAGTTTTTGGGTGAAGGAAATACTCAGAAACTTGGATGAGATAGCAAAACTGAGTTCGGAGCTTCCAAATCATTGATTCGATCAGAAAATGAATTATCTGCATCCAAAAAAGTTCATATACTTCGAAACTTACCTGCAGGATTTTTCAATCCCGTCGAAAGGCCATCTAAAAAAGCCTGCCTTGAGGACCTCACAGATCTGTCTACCCAAACCTTTCCCTGCGTATGCCCCGCGTTCACCCATGTTTCGTCTAATTAATAAATTTTTCTTCCTTCAGCGCGGAATTGCCTAATTTTTCTAAGGTATTCTCTCCTCCAGATAACAATTTCTTCCTTTTCTATCAATAAACTATTCCTTCCTCTTTTCAAAAATCGAAAGTCTAGTTCTTTCAACAGCTTATTGTAGGTATTTCATTCCTGAAGAAAAAGTGATGTACTTTTCTTCTAATGGCACTTTTGTCAAAGTCATCTATTTTTTCGATGATTTTTTTTTCTCGCTGGATATGTTTTTGGCTCAGATAGTGAGTGATTTTGTCTATATTCCTTCAAGATTTTGTAAACACTTGATCGACCTACTCCAGAAATTTCAGCAACCTTACATACGATATTTTCTATAGCCAATCCACTATTCTCTTGCATCTGGTTCTTGTAGATATTTAGAATAATTTGTTTTTCACCTGTGCTAAGATGAAGCTTTTTAGCCCTTTTGCTGGGTGGCGTTAAGCTGATTTCAACCACTTCATCAGCTGTATCTGTGTCAGACATTTTAGACTAATATTAAATTTCCGCAAGAAAAATCAAGTCAAGACGTGCATAAAACGTTCGCGCTCATAAACGGGTATCCGTAACTGATTACAATCCTGTGCTTGGTGACGAACCATCAACGTGACGCTGAGAGTTCCCTCTACTATGCAGCGTTGCCAGGCTTAATGTCACAATGATCATGTTTTATTGGGAAAATTGTCAGAAATCGCCGAATGTTGAACAGAAACATTACAAGAAGTCTAACCTTGAAATGTGAGGCTACAAATCCATATTCTTATATATTCTTATAGGGGGGAAGGGTAGAGAGCTGTTATGGTTCCTATTAACCTTGGTGAAAGTTGGAAACGATAATATCATATATTGCATACATTCGGTTGAAGGTGTGTGCACGGAAAATAGATTGCGGATAGGATTTTAATAGATAAATCTGCACAAAAAAACACAAAAGGAGATTTTTGTATTTCCCTGAAGAATATCTCAAGGTTATTTCAGATGTACTCATCGAAACTTTATGGAAGGATTAACGAAACCTTATTTTCAATTGCGATAGGGCCACATACCTCGACATTGCATTAATGTGAAAAATAAGACAATAGAAAAAAATTCCCTCACTGATGCTATCTCTTAGGAAAAATTTAACTATAAAGATTGCACAAAAATTTTCTTCACCTTTTTGAGCTTGTTTTCGCATCTCCGTATATGCCCTTCATAATTTGCTGCAGATCAAATTGGAATATACCTTTTTGATGCTATTTGTTGTTATATAATGTCCTTTACAACAGTTATTGCACGTATTGCACCAACAGATTGATTTGTGATCCATGCGAATGTGATCAACCACTCTGGCGAAAACTCGCCGAGCGTGGCAACCGTGCGACTTTGTCTGGAGGCTCGTCGCTACAAGCCAATCAGGAAGAGGCCGACAGAGCGCCCTGGCTACCGATCACGCGTTGATCACAAATCAACCACTGTTTACGATTACTTTGTAGCTTCGTTAGATACACTTTAGTGTCCGACCGAAAATAGTTTTTTAACCGAAACAGGAATTTCGGTTTTAACTTTATAGAAGTCTTGCTTTTATGTATAATAATAATCATTCATGACAAATATAATTAAGAACAATTTAAGCTTGCAGAACAGAAGTAATTTCTCTCTTAAGAAACAAAATAAAATCTTCCTTCTAAGTTATACTGCGTCTTCTAAAATAAAGACAGTAGTTTCCTTTTCCATCCTTCCAATATACCTGTATAAGACAAAATGAAAGATATTGTGAAAAAATTTGAAGTACAAATAAAATACAATAAACTACCCTACATTTTTTTTTTGTTTTTAAAGTGGCTTTGATCATGGATGCCCGAATATTAAAACTGATCATTTGATCATTCATTAGTTTACTTAATGTGATCAATCCATTGATGTCCGTTAGTATCGCCAGTTACTTGCTTTAGATACATAACACATACGGCTATTGTGGTGTAGCCTTTCTTTATGCCTGGCTACTACTTTTTTGATTTCGTCGATAACCAGAGGGATATTAAAATCTCTTTGACAGCCCCAATTACAAATACATATACCAATGGACCACGTTTCTCAGAACTTTATTTTGAAATTTTTGAATAATTTCGATTATGGAACATTTTAAATAGCCCCATAGTTGTGAAACATAAACCCACACTGATTTTAAGATGTGATTATAGATCATGATCTTGTTATTGGAACGATAGCTTTGAGAATATCCCCGAAAACCAGTTATATTGATTGTAGCATAGTCCTAAATATTTAGCATTTGGTGATGCCGTTAAGGCTTATTTTAGGAGGACTTGTCAATCTTCTAAAGCAAAATTGGATCGATTTCAATTCATTCAATTTCATTTTCCAACTCTGGATCTATTTCAGTAAAATGTTGGTAGCAGTCTATACTAACAGAACTTAATGGACCTTTGTCAACTGCAATCAATGCTGTACCATCAGCCATAGCAGGAATATCTGATGTTATACAGACGATTGAACACTGGACCTATAACACTCCCCTAGGGTACTCCAGCATTGATATGCAGAAGATCAGAATATTTACCATCTTGCTTATTCATGACCTAATTACCTCGACGTACTGTCTTGGAAGTAGAACGCTTCTTTATTAATACGTACTTCATGCCTGGCCGGCATCCAAGTTTAGCGAAATGTTGAATTCTGATAGTCTATTATTTATAGAAGGAAAAATGTAAATTGTTGATAAAAAATGTATGTATTTGAAAATTGATCTACTCATGCTGATATGATTAAAGGACAAATGATAAAGA